CAGCGCAACTAATCGACAACAATGGTGTTCATGTTGTCACCAGGAAGCGATATGCACGCCGATTGTTGATCGTGGAGGTTTAAGCCCACTCTCTATCAGAATAATTTCACATTTTAGTCACCTTGAGGTATTAGTGAAATTTGTTTATTTAAATCTCATAGTGCAACAGTCAGACTGATATTTGAAATTCCAATAGATCTGCAATTTTCATGGTATCATTTAACAAACTCTAGAGAGAGACAATTCAATTTTCGGAGGAAAAAGAAAGTAAGTTACAAGTAAAAACAATAAAATTACCTGCTATTCGTCGGGCTGTGTGTAGAGCTAAGACTTCGCAAAGTTCCCACCTCGTGACCCATTCCGTCTGACTGGCTGACCGAGGGATCCGGGACACGGCCATGGATCGAAGCCAATTCATCCACACGTCCAAAATCGAATCCAGTTGAACTGGACAACGGTGGTAATTTCCAATCTGTGCTTCTGTTTGTCGCACTCGAACCTGAGATGGGCACGAAGTGAGAAAATGTTGTCAATATCGATCATTGTTCTCGCTTTAACCGAACGGTTTTCATCCGATTACCGAAATTGCTATGACTGAAAACACGAAAGTTGCCGAGCGTTGAAAATTTAGTTCAACTTCGTTAAAGTGTTGACACGAAACGCGATATCACTTTATGCAATAACATTCAGTGCATTACGATCAAAGAAGAGCACTACATGGTGGTGTTGTCTTTGTCCGGGAATTCATCGGAAATGCCTAATGTTCCATTCAATTCAGTTATTTTAACGGACCATTAACCATGCGGCGGTTTTGTTTGCTGTCTTTGGGCTGCCCATCTGGAACGAATGGTAGAATGAAGGTTGAAAATCGGTGTGGAGATCTGGTATGCAGGAGAGATCGCAAATCTGACGAGATGGCGCTTGTTCATCAATGTCTAATGTTTATACCATAGGAACGATTCGAACAGCAAACCTTAGGGTTGACATCCCATACGCCTTCTTCTGAGCTACACCGGTGATGGTGAACACCTTGAACGTATGCTGTGTAGGGAAGTCAACTTTTTGCTTGCACAAGCTTCTTCTTATCTGAAGGAATTGTGCAATCAATGAAATTTAACCTTTCCGTGTCAGATATACGATCAATACAAATATTGTGTAGGTACAGCAATGAATGAATTGGAAAATGTGCTTGTTTCATCAACTCAAAGTTTTTTTTAAGTCTTTCACTTGTTACATAAATCATACCTAACCACAGTTACCATTAACTAATAATGAGTATTACTTTCTATTAGTTACTGAACTGTTCTCCGGATAGATGCGTATAATTCGCATTCAAGTGACCTTGACGTAACGTAGGGATAAAACCCAGGCTATAAGATAATTAATACACGTAGACGAAGCATGATAAATAACGCGACAGACAACGTTCCTCGTTAGGCTCATCTCGGTAGTGAATTTTTATCGCTTTGACAATTTAATAATGTCTGTTTAAATCGGTGTTCAAAAACCAGTTCCAGAAATACGGCCATGAGGAAGCGCACCCCTTGAACGGCTGCGCTACAATTTGTCAACATCGTTGCATTATGGAATTTATTGATCACATTGCGCAATATGCGGGTTTTACCCATATACAAAAGAAAACAATTCACATTAAAAATTAGGGATGTTGTGATGAAAAGTTATGCAGCGTTGTTTAGAGTGCCAGTCACTAGTCAACCGCGCATATACTTCAAACGCAGAAAACGCATTCGTGCCGGTTGGTAAACCGCTCTCGGTTGTACTACTCCAAATAAGATGACTGTACCATTATTTGTTTGGGAAGGTTTCCGGATGTATCCTACCTGTTCCAGCCAAAGGAATTTTGCAACTGCTGTGTCCTATGTCTCGCCAGGAGTCATGATGGCTCAATGATGATGTAGTTTAACTGGATAATTTAGTCTGTTTCACACAGGGTAGATAACAGTGCAGGAAGAAATTAGGAGACGGTGTGATTATCTACATCAGCTCCCAGTGGTGTGGTAAGTCCGTAATACTTTCCAAGTATTCACAAAATGACACTGATTGCTTGACTGTTGACTGTCATCCAAAATTCTCCCGTTTTCCTTGGATCATCACCAATTTGTATATTGCACTTCATTATAGGCTGTCGGGCATTGACACATTTTATGAGCATTTTCTACTGATTATTGCTCCATTTCTAGCTGACAGCTTGCACCTAATAGTTGGTGACTTTAACCACACACCCCGCACCCTTTATTCTGTCTAAACCTCAGTGACTATATATTATTCAACCGTCTGCAGGAAACTGCCATCTAGATCCCACAATCACAAATCAAACTGACAGCATTTTCTACCAAACACTTCTCCCCATTAGGCACCGGTGATCACAACCAGATCCTGATCAGATCTAAGATTTACTCACACTCAGGACATTTTTCCTTTACTCGACCTAAACATGTGTGTCATGTGTCACCAGAGAGATCTTTCCCCAGAATTGGAACAGCATATGAACAATTCTGCATGATGGATAAAGTGAACTACTTAAATAGGCACTTCATTATAAATCATATTTCTGATTCTCACTGGAAAAATTTCGAGGACTAATCTGAAACAATAACAATAATAATAATTCGTCCAGTACAATTGTGACTTGTTACCATTGGGACGTGCACGCATACTGAAAGTCTTATCAGTTAACTACTTCAGCTGGGATCTTGAACTTAGGTGAAGCAAAACAATTGACTGACTCTTTGAATTAAATTAAGGTCACATACACACACACACTTGTGAGATTTGTGAGACCATTTTGGGTCACTACGATCCAGATCACTCACTCGTTCGACCACCTGGGCTCAACGTGCCGGGTGCATGATTCGTCGAACTGCTTGCTCCCCACGAGCAGGAAGAAGAGGTGGACGAACTGGACGGAGATAGACCATTGATCCCCGTGGCGGTTGTTTTAGGAGATACAGTTAGCCCGGAATTGGAATTGGTCGGTTTTGACACAGCAGTCTGGACAAAGTTCGCGGTGGTGGGTTGATCACCGAGCACCGTTTGATCTGCGTTTGCATTTGCGATTGGTTCGTGGTCCGGATTCGGTACGTTCGGAAGGTGACACTGGTTCACCACTCCAGTGGCCAATGTTTCGCCGGCAGTGGTCGTGACCACTGGCAGTGTGGAAGATTTTTTTCGAAATGCTTTGCCGATCGAAGTGCGAAACTGAAAAAAAACAATTTTATTTTTGTGTGAACGCAGTGTAGGACGGAGGAAGGGGGTTGGGGTGGGTGGAGATGAAAAGAAAGGAGAACAGAGTCACGGGAGGAAAATGACAGTATTTCCATGACAACCGCAAACTTAAGACAAGTCAAGTTAAGAAATCTCTTTATACACGTCGAGGGTTGGATATTTAGCAGCCACATAACCAGTGTGTAAAGATTAAAAAAAGCGAAATCTAATAAAGCAATTGAACAAAGAGACACGCAGAGTAACATCAAGAAAAACAATGGCATACCGGGGTGTTTGGGATTGGTTTAATTTAGCATTTTGCACAGATTTTCTGCAACGAGGTCATAGTTTGTAAGGAATCTAACAAGATGCGGTACAATAAAGCGCCCTTAAGCGAGTGCCTTTATACGTTTATGACTGGAACGGGTGGATAAATAAGGAAGGCATTGACAAAGAGCAGAATAAAGCGGATGCAAAATATCAGATAAAACCTTATTGGGGAATATTTTACAGGAATTGAGTTGGTGTGTCACCACATACTGTACCAGATGTTTCCGT